GCTAACACAAAATGTCCACTTACACGACACTGACCGACGTGACCGCCGAGCCAGCGGAAGCACGATCGTACGGCTCGCAGCGTGTGGCTTGACCACCTTTCGAATTTTTGTCCAGCTCCACCTCACAACCAGACTTTCTGTAGAAGACAAAGGTACACCTTGTAGCCGACATCCACGACTCTCTCTCCCTCATTGAGAGAAGCAGCATCTTGACCTGTCTGCACGAGCTCGGCATGCCCCAAAGAGACATCTTCCTGTGCCCGGCTTTCCAAATCCAAGGCGAGAGGAATATACTTGAGGACGAAGCCACCTCCAGACTTTCTGACGGCTGCTTCTAGCGCCTTGGTAGCGCGTCGAAGCATCAGATGTTCTGCGGTCATGAGCAGCGCTACGCCTCCAGCTTTCAAGACGTGGCAAAAAGCCTGTACGAGTCGAGGATACAACTTGGAAAGTTGCTGATGAGAAGAGACTCGATGTCCCCATGGAAGATCCGTAATGATGCCATCCATCGTGCCTCTACCTCCCACAAACGTCGCCAGAGCTGACGGATCGGCGGAATCGACGCGTGCGAGCTGGATCGTTGCAGCGCTGGACGTATCGTGCGAGCTCTCGCAAAGACGAAACATCCGCGAAGCTCGAGTCACCTCGTCTTGATCCACATCGCAAGCGTACACCTCGACTTTTCGCTGCGCTCGCGCTCGCAGGGCGGCAAAGAGCTCTACGGCAATTCCACCGCTGCCGACGCAAGGCTCCAGAATGCGAAGCTGTTCGTCTGGCGAGCGATCGAACGGGATGGGAAAGGCGACAGTCATCAGGTAGGCTCTGTAACGCGCTAGAGCTGTGCCGCCTTCCATAAGATCCGTTGGGATGGGCGGACGGTGGGCCGGTGATTTCGGCAAGACGTGACTTGCGTCAAGATCGGTGAACCGGTCCGACTGCTCGCCCTCCGATGGCCTTGTAGTTCTTGCGGAGGGCAGTGCCAAACACCAAGCCACGCTGCCCGCAGGAGTGGTGACGGTCAGATGTTTGGCAATCTCGGCTGCACTTTGTCCCGTGCCGAGGCTCCGAACGAATTTGAGGGTCAAATTCAAAGAAGGCGGCGGATCGCGCAGAGAGACGTGCCAAGGGTTCGAGCTCGATCCGCGTTCTTTCTCTAGATCTTGAAGCCATAGACCAACCTAGCAAGTAGGCCAAGTTGTTCTGAAAGTTAGTCTCGCGCAGAACACCACTTCAGTCTGCCCCCATCGAAAAGCTCACCGATTCGCCCAGCTGGCTTTCCAAGTACAGCTGCGTTAGCGTTGGAAAGATGTACGTCGCTCTTTCAACCGTGGCCCTGAACGTGCGCAAGGTCTCGCTTGACACATCGACCCCAAACGCAGAGATGACTCGCGTCCACGAGTCGATCAAGCCGCCCTCTTGTGCACTCTGCATCGTCGTCTTCCAGCCCTGATCAAGAAAATGCAGCAGCTCGAGTTCTGAAGGAGCCTGTCCCTGCTCGTTCAGCTCGATCTCACCAGCACCTGGAGTTGCAGGCTGCGCTTTGCCAGCTTGCGGTTTTTGCTTGGTGTTTGGTTTGTGGCGCAACTTTGTCGCAAGCCGCTCCACCACCACCTCTGCCGCTTCGTTTTTCGTCTCGCTGACATTCTGCGTAATCGGCGCCGCTGCTGGTGCAATACCTCTCTCTTTGCGCCTTTTTGCAGCTTCTTCCACCTCGCGCTGCTGAGCCTCTTTGCGTTTCTGCTTCTTCTCAGCCTCGGCAGCTTTGCGCTCGTTTCTTTTGCGCTCGCCGATAGCTTCCCTATCGGCTTGCAAATGTGCCAGCAGAGGAGCAGGAAGTTGGCAACGATGCAGCAAGAGACTGGCCGATTTGACGCTGTCCAGGGCACCTGAGATGTACAACCGTAGCGCGAGCTGGGATGCTTTGCCTGCTTGCACGATCAAGTGGCCGCTATGTAGAGCGCTGTGGCTCAAGTTGCGACCTACGTCTGGTTGGTAATGTCGGAGGACAGCTTCTATGTCGCGCTGAGCATAATCTTCAAGACCTGCCCGAAGCGCTTGCAAGTTCAACATCGATTCAATCACGTTCGCTCGCTTACTCACTCACCTCCCCACACTTCGAACATTACGGATGGTGTGGCGCTCGGCAACTCGACCTCTGTCGGGAGGGATTTGCAAAGCTGCCAATCGACCAGTGGTCTGCGCGATCGAGCTGCGGAAGCCCGAGCAGACTCGTCCATCTCTCCCGAGCCAGGGCGCGTCGTTGAAGCAGGCGTCGTGGTACTTGACAATTGAGACTGCGCGTCCATATTCTGCCTGCTCTGCTCGAGCGTGGGCAGAGCTGAATCGTGCATGTAAACATGCAGCTTACCATTCGAGCTCGTGGAGACTTTGACATCTTGCGCCTGAACCACTGTCGGCCAGACGCTCTTGTCCTCGCTGGCTAAGGCGGGATTAGCATCAGATGCGGCTCTAGAGCGCCAATCTTGTCGTGCCCACCAAGGCAGCTCGTCTTCGAATGCCCATTCGTCCGTCTCGTACTTGATGGCATGCAAGTAGATATACAGCGAAGAGAGAGGGGGATCGGGCTGCAGTGGACTGCCTCGAAGAGGCGGGCGGGACGATGGGGAGGATGAGCAGTCGCGGGGAGCGCGTCTCGCTGGTGAGCAAAACTCACACCTTGCAAACCTCGCAAGACATTCCTTCATCCGCGGGGTTGACGAGTTCAGCTTGAGACCCGTTCGCATCTCTTCTGCGAGGATCGGCGGCGCTCTGAGCATTCGGACCTTCAACGCGAGGCAAGTGCCATCCTTGCTGTTGGCACAATTTTCCAAATTTGACTTCATCCCTCCACCTCGCCCAATCCTCCTTGTCGTCCTTGTCCGTCTTGAGCGCCGCAACGACCTTTGCGATTTCGGGACATCCGGCCGTCTCGGCATTATACCCATCCATGCCCGGTTCCAAATTGTTCCTGTCCTTGCCGATCGTCACTTTTGCCAAATTGCAGGGATGCACGTCGGGGTCGCTGATCCAGATCTCGTGCGCGTAGATCGGATCGTTGGGTATGGCATGACCAAGCCACTGCAGATGCACGCGGATCTGGTGCGTGCGACCAGTGATGGGTCGACAGAGCACCACGCTCGTATCGCTCGTCTCGTCGTACGACATTCTCTGAAACATCGTCTCGCACGATTTGCCGAGCGGATGGACCACATTCAGACCTGTCTGCCTGTCCACGCCCAAGATGGGCTCCCTGCACGTGACGATTTCCGAATCGGAAGTGGGGAACTTGCCACGAGCTCGAGCGACGTAGGCTTTTCGAACCAGACCTTGGGTCATGTCCATGGACAATTGTTGGGCGGCAGGACGTGTCAAGGAGAGAATCATGATTCCCGAAGTGAGCCTGTCGAGTCTGTTTGACGTGTAGATGAGGTCCAGACCGAGCGCTTCTTGGAGCATGCTGAGCAGCGTGTGCTTGGCGTATCTGCCTGCTGGATGAACAGGAATGCTTCCAGGTTTGACGATGACCAGCCTGCCGTGTTCTGGCGAGTGGTAGAGGATCTTGATTGGCTCGGCGGAGACTGCTGGTTCATGACGATGAATCTTGTTCAGCATCGTGTCTCCATCCTTGAGCACGTACGTCGGATCGACGATGTTGCTGTTGATGGTGACGTAACCTGAGCGAATGGCCCAGACGTAGTATTCCAACGTGCGATCTCGAAATTCGGTGACAAAAATGTCTACCAGCGATCGACCTTGCCATCTCTGCTTGGCTCGCGTCTCGAATGCGTGCCAGTAGGGTTTGCAGGTTCGCAAGGCACCGCAAGGCTCCCTGTTGCTCGTCTGAGCTGTCACTCGCTCTGCTTTGCTCGTAGACGTCATTTCGATATCAGCTTTTGCTGATCATTTCAAGGCTCTGCTTATGGGTTGGCTCTATCTTGCGCTCTTGTTGTGAGCAAAGCAAATCCTTCGCAGACGTCTTGACCCTTGCCCTTCAAACACCGCGCCCAATCGTGAATGTGCCTGCCCAACCTCATCCAATTTCGATCATCCACCTTTTGCTGGCTTATCGTTCATCCGCTTCTGCAAGTAAAAAGCTCGATCCTTCCTGAACTCGACTGATCTTTCTTTCTCAGTTTCCGTTCTCTGTCAATTCCAAGTCTTGATTTGAACGCCTATCCTTCTTGTGCGTCACATGGCATAGACAAGATATGATGAAGAGGTAAGGTAGAGGCGCCTGCGAGCAGCACACACGCACACAGCCCGCCCTGTGCAGAAAATTTGAAATCTTTCAAATTTTCAACTTTGAAT